AGAGATCACAGTGCTCCATGTTATTCCCACTTCACAAATAAGACAAAAACTAATGATTCTGTTATAAAGACAGCAGAAAATATTTGTCATGAGAGCAATAAAAAGTTCAGAGTATTAGTCTCTCAAAATTCCTTTGCTCCAAATATCAAGAGATGATAAATAAGCTAGTATTTTCCCTATGTTATGTCTTGTACATACTTATATTTGGAAACACTTGCTATGGCTTCTCACTTTTTTTCTTTTTTTCTTCCTCCTCCCGACAACCCCACTATTCTCTATCTCCCTCTGGCCTCTCCTCCCACTATGTCCTGGCTCTTCTCTCTTTTCTAAGCAGTAACATTCTAAAGTCCAATCAGCAATATTCACTGTTGTTAACAATTGCCATAGACTTTAGGGTACGCTGAGAAATTTGAAGTGATACCTACAATCGCCCTGCTACAGTTGGGAAATTTAAAAAAGCAAGGCTGGGTCAGGCACAGTGGCTCATAACTGTAACCCCAGCATTTAGGGAGGCTGAGGTGGATCACCTGAGCTCAGGAGTTTCAGACCAGCCTGGCCAACATGGCAAAACCCCATGTTTACAAAAACAGACAGACATTAGTGGGGCATGGTGGTGTGTGCCTGTGGTGCCAGCTGCTTGGGAAGCTGAGGTGGGAGGATTGCTTAAGCCCAGGAGGCAGAGGTTGCAGTAAGCTGAGATCTACCAATGTACTCCAACCAGGGTGACAGAGTGAGACCATCTCAAAAAAAAAAAAAAGAAAAAAAAGAAAAAAGCAAGGCTTAAAAATATTCTTTAAATATTCAACATTCTCACTAAAGCTTTCTAGAATTCTAAATAGAGTGTCATCCATGGTTTTTTAAACAGTAGATTAAAGAATGTCTTGTTTTGGCTCTAACAAAATGTACCTCAAAATTATTTTTCATAAACTAAAAAATTATGCCACTTCATTATGTTTAAATCTGTTAACTTCTATACACATGTAGTGATGTTAATTTAGTCTAAAATGAAATTACTACAATTAAGAAAGTTAAAGAAGCCCAATAAAGAATCCAGAAAAAAACTTATTTCCATAGAACCTGTGGAGGCATCATAATAACATAAGAACTCCTTATTAATCATAACTATACAGAACATGCCAAAAATTATATAGGCAAAAAAGTCTATGCTCTGTCAAAATCTGTCATAAATTCCACATATTAATTAATTTGCATTACACATATTTAGGATGTGTGATCTATAATTCAGTACATATAAAACTGATACGCAACATATAATAATAATCATAAGAATCCTCTCTACCAATCCATCTCTCTTTTTCACTTTTACAATCAACAAATACCAAATATCACTGTTTAAGAAGTAATAGGAAACTTGAAAACAGAGTCTTTTTTTTTTCCTTTTTTTTTTTGAGACAGCGTCTCACTATTACCCAGGCTGGTGAGTGGAGCAACACAATCACAGCTCACTGCAACCTCAAACTCCTGGGCTTAAGTCATCCTCCTGTCTCACCCACCCAAAGTGTTGGAATTCCAGGCGTAAACCATGCCACCTGGTTGAGAGAGACTTTCTTTTCTTTTTTTGTTTTGAGATGGAGTCTCGCTCTGTTGCCCAGGCTGGAATGCAATGGCGCGATCTCGGCTCATCACAACCTCAGACTCCCAGGTTCAAGCGATTCTCCTGCCTCAGCATCCCAAGTAGCTGGAATTATAGGCATGCGCCACCACGCCCAGCTAATTTTGTATTTTTAGTAGAGATGGGGTTTCGCCATGTTGGCCAGGCTGGTCTCGAACTCCTGACCTCAGGTGATCTGCCCACTTTGGCCTCCCAAAGTTCTGGGATTACAGGCATGAGCCACTGTGTCCGGCCGAGAATAGACTTTCAATAAATGAAAAAAGTATTCCAAACAAACTGCCCTTTATCAGTTTTTGGACATGTGAAAAAAAGAACAAGTTAACAAAACAAAACAAAAAAACTGAAACAAAAACTGAGTGACTTAAAACCGTATTATCAGTGTAGAATAAGATGATTTATGGAAGGTTGGTTAAGGTAGGTCTGAAAATAACTTCTCTCAGATGGAGTGCTCTCTATCTACATGCTAGCATTAGAGACTGCTTTAGTTATTTATAATTACCCTCCATTCACTCCAAATTTATTAAAAGGAGTCCTTACTACTTTTTAAAGCCTGGGAAACATGTTTAGAAATGCATTAATTAAAAAACAAAACAAAAACAACAAAATCTGAATCAAAATGATAACATGTCTTAGAAGAATAAAATGTTTAAAAATAAATCAATAAGCTCTCATAATTTCAAGTATACACTGGACAAAAATGATTGGTCAAACTAGTCAGAAACCTACATACAAAGTAGATAGATGCACCTAAGTTCAACCAGTGGAGAGTTTTCCCAGGGTCCTTCTGAGATGCTTGATCTTCTTCCAGTAGAGGGAGCAAAATCACAATACTCAACTCATGTCACAAAAAGAGGGGGAGATGGAGGGTTTATAAATGTCTTTTAAATATTTCTACATCTTCCTAGACATTTCAAAAAATGTGCTGAAATATCGTTCTGAAATAGAACTAAAGTGGCCGGGCGCAGTGGCTCACACCTGTAATGCCAGTACTTTGGGAGGTCGAGGCGAGTGGATCACCTGAGGTCAGGAGTTCAAGACTAGAGATCAGCCTGGCCAACATGCTGAAACCCCATCTCTACTAAAAATACAAAAATTAGCTGGGCGGAGAGGCACACGCCTGTAATCAATCACAGCTACTCAGGAGGCTGAGGGAGGAGAATCACTTGAACCTGGGAGGCAGACGTTGCAGTGAGAGGAAATTGTGTCAGTACACTCTAGCCTGGGAAACAGAGTGAGACTCCTTCTCAAGAAAGGAAAAAAGAAATAGAACTAAAGTCAACCCAATGGGAAAGACATAGATTTTATCTTTTTCAAATACTTCAAGGCTTTAAAATGAAAAATGGATCCCTAAATATTTAATTTCAAGAACTTTGGTACATTTCATTGTCCACTGAGTATCACAGGTAACCAAGGTATTGAAGCATTTTACGAATCCTTAATTTAACAAGAGAATTTTTAAAAACATAAAATATTACATTAATTTTTTTATTATAAAAGTAATATATTCACGATAAAATTGTAGAAAGTAAGGGAAAGAAGGGTGTAATTGCACTAACTAAACCTATTTTCTTCTGGTATTTTTTCACATGCAAATTTTTTTTCTCAGAGACAGGGTCTGATTCTAATGCCTAGACTGGCAGTGGTGTGATCATGGCTTACCTCGGCCTGGAACTCCTGGGTTTGAGCTATCTATCTGCTCACCTCAGCCTCTTGAGTAGCTGGGACTACAGGAGTGCACCATCATACCTGGCTAATTTTTTTAAAATATATTTATTGTAGAGATAGAGTATCGTTACATTGCCCAGGCTGGTCTGGAATTCCTGGCCTCAAGCAATCCTGTCACCTCAGTCTCCCAAAGTGCTGGGATTACAGGCATAAGCTAACATACCTGGCCCATATACATATTTTCATACTACTATGAAAAAAGTATAATTAATAAAAACACTTAAGACTGGGCAGAGTGTCTCACGCCTATAATCCCAGCACTTTGGGAGGCCGAGGAGAGTGGATTGGTTGAGCACAGGAGCTCAAGATTAGCCTGGGCAACATGGCAAGATCACAACTTTACAAAACAATACAAAAAAATAGCCAGGCATGGTGGCACGTGCCTACAGTCCCAGCTACCCAGGAGGCTGAGGCCGGAGGATCACCTGAGCCCAGGGAGGTTGAGGCTGCAGTAAGCCCTGATAGTGCCACTGCACTTCAATCTGAGTGATAGAATGAGACCCTGTCTCAAAAGAAACCCCCCCCCAAAAAAAATTTATTTCTTACTATATGCTAGGCATAGTCTAAGCATGTGTACATGTTATAAATCTATTAATCCTTTCCAAAGCCCTATTAGCTGGATCCTATTATTATTTCACACTTTAAAGATGAGGAAAAAGAGACACACAGAAATTATCTAAGTCAGAGTCACCCAACTAGTAAGTAATGGGACCCATGATTCTAAACCAGGTAGTCTGGTACCAGAGGCCACACTCTTAACCTTGCTTTACTGTGATCTTAATTTTGAATTATGCTCTTTTCTCCATCATTAACATACTCTCAATGTTAGTGTTCAAAATCTTTTTAGTGCCTATGGTCTATCATGATTACAACAATGAGTTATTGCTTTTTTCAGCTGTCCCTTGTAAGTATATTAAGATAAATATCTTTGGGTATATACTTCTGCTATGTTTGGGTTATTAAAATGGAGAATTTTTATACTCTTTAATCTAGTACCAAATTGCTTTTCAAAATATTTGCATCAGTTAACAAAGCCATGTAGGTACTAATTTCACCATAAATTTGCCAGCATTAAGCATTAATATTTAAAATATTTTTCTAATAGGTAAAAATAAAACCATTCTAAATTGAATTATTATTAAAGCTGCATATTATTCGGGTTTTGTTTATAATTTAATTTCCTTTTTGTGAATTTCAGCTTATATGCTTTATCTAGTTATCAACTGAGACGTTAAAAGTTTGCTAATCAATTTATAAAGCTTTTTATAGGAATATTAACTCAATGTTGATTGTATTTGCAATAAAATTTTCCCAGTCTGGTTTTTCCCTTTTAATTATGATTATTAAGTTGTTTTTGATAAAATAACTTTCTCTCAAAGGTATTCATAAACATCACAAAAGAAGTCTTAACACCTTACAATTTTCTAAATATAGAAGTTAATCTATTGCTTTGAGCATATCAGTGAATCACTTTCAATATAAGACTTGTAAAACAATATAAACCTATATCAAAATATGTATGTTCACTTAATGGAATTACTAAGTTTGAGAAATCCTGACTGTGTCTCATATAAAATTAACCCAATGACTAACAGTCCACCCTACCCCCAAATCTCCAAAATAAAAGCAAAGAGCTACATACCTGTCGCTGTAAACATAGGTGATTTCTGTCATGTAAATGCTGATGATTAGAAAATGATGAATGCCAACTCCGAGCCTGACTTTGCAACTGAGTCTGAGCCATATCAGAAGGCCGTGTTACAAGATGCGAAGTAAACTGCCGATCAAGGTCATGATCTAAAATGTGACTTGAATTATCTTGCCCGAATGTTGACTCATCAAAGTGAGGAAGAAGTCCCTCCTGAAGGAGGTCCTCGGGGTCAAGTCCTGTGAATGGCTCAGTTTGAGATTCCACTTGATGAAGTAAATTCTCTTCTAAAGATGAAAAGCCATTAGTCTCTACATGATCATTGAAATGGCCCATTTGAGTTCCTGAGTCAACAGGATCTGGGAAGTTCATGTGCACAGGAGATAATTTTGAATTGCTATAATTACCCTGAGGATGTGACGAATGCAATATTTGGAAATTATTTGAATTCAATGATGTATTGGGGTTTAGGATATGCTGAGTAGATTCTTGCTTGATTCCTCTATGAGGTGAAAAGGAATTACTTCCAGTAAAATCAGATAAAGTCTGATTTGCATGATTAGGTGCAAGAACTGCAGAGGACTGAAGTAGACTGTTTGGTGATATATGATTACTGGAAAAGGAATAATGTGAAGAAAATTGCTGTGAATTGCTGACAGAACAAGAAGTCATATTTGGGGAAGGTCCATTAAAATTTCCTTCTTGATGATTGCTACACTTGTGGAAGTGTGCTGAAGGATTCGACGTTTGAGAAAATTGCTGCATTGAAATAGACTGTTGTGAATTAGATGCATTAGTCATTTGTGGTGGGTGGTTAACGTTGACTCTATGTGGACCAGAAACATTCATAAAATTTTTAGACTGGCTAAGAGAATTCTGCCCTGGGTTGAGATTATTTCTGTTTTGTTGTGAGCGTAGTGAAGTGCACTGTGTTTGTTGTTCATTGGCCTGAAATAAGGCAAAGTCATGGTGCGCCACAAAGCTTTTATTTTGATGCATAGAGTGTGAATGTCCTTGTTGATGAAAAGGAGATCCATTTTGATTTGAAATGTTAGTAGATGTCTGATGGCCCCACATTGGACTGCCATCTGATACATCTGGAAACAAACCATTGGGTTGGTTTTGGGGGTGGATTGGAGAACAATTAAACTGAGAGTGTGGAGATAATACATGTTCAGCTGGGCTACCAAAAGATTGATTAACGTGGTGAAATTTTATTGAATCAAATTGATTTAACTGTTCAAAATCAGTCATCTTCTGATGTGCTGGAGTACTTTGAACATGGTTCAGTGAATCTATGTGCAACGGTTCAAATTCTGCACCCAAATTCAATTCATCAACTAGTGAAACAGGTCCTGGTTGTACAAATGCATCATCCGACAAGCCTTCTAAGGTCTCACCGAAAAGATTGGCATCATCAAAAAAGTCCATCATTGGATCTGTCATCTTGAAAATTCTGTAACAATCCAGTTGTTCACTCCAAATGGAGTATATTCAGCTTCTCTATAGTAGATATTATTGCATCATTTCTGAAGGTCATCAACTAATCCAAAACAGATCAATATTCATTATTGCTCTAAATAATGACATGTCATGAAGTGTCAAAATCCTAGGAAAAAAGGAACAAAAACAATAAAGAGAAATTAAGTACTGATACATGCTACAACATAGATGAACTCTGAAAACATTATGCTAAGTGAAAGAGGTCAGTGACAAAAAACCACATATTATATGATTCGATTTATATAAAACGTCAAAAGTAGGCAAGTATATATATAGAGAAAATAGATTAGTGGTCACCTAGAGCTGGTGGCATGGTGGGTAGATAGAAGGACTGGTGATTGGTGAGTGTTAGCTACAGGTTATGGGATTTCTTTTGCGGGTAATGAAAATGCTCTAAAATTGGTTCCATGGTAATGGATAAACAACTCTTGAGTATGCCAAAAGCCACTAAATATACATTTTAGATGAATGAATTGTATGGTATCTGAATTATATCTCAGTAAAGCTACTTTAAGAATAAAAATTATATAAGTAAAATTATTTTGAAACTTCTAATTTTCTGTTATATCTTTTAGATAAGGAGGATCACTTGAGCCCAGGAGTTTGAGACCAGCCTGGGCAACAAGTGTGACACCCATCTCAAAAAAAATTTTTTAAACTACTCGGCCATGGTGGTGTGTACCTGTATTCTCAGCTACCTGGGAGGCTGAGGTGGGAGGACTGCTTGCGCCTGAGAGGCTGAGGCTTCAGTGAGCCATAATTGTGCCACTGCACTCCAGCTTAGGCAACAGAGTGAGACACTGTCTCAAACAAAACAAAACAAAACAAAAAAAACAACTGATTTTATTCAACCTAATTACCAACTAATTTTACTTGGCAAGTATTTGCAAGGTAGATCTTTCTGAGAAAAAATTAAGTAGGTGAAGTTACTTTGGATGATTTAAGTTACAGTGGAAGTCTGTGTCTTCTCAAAGAAAATATTTTATCTATCCAATACAACTTTGAAACTTATGACAATGTTAAAATAAGCTAGTAATGTAAAAAGTATGCTCTGGAAAAATTTTAAAATAAATAAGAACTCTAGAGTAGACATATTTTTAAATGACTCAAGAAAAAAATCTTTTTTTTTTTTTGAGAAGGGGTAAGCTATAGCAATCATTTTAATCAATCAAAATTTAAAACTTCAGAATTTAACTGAAATGATGTTTACTGACTCTGTCACAAATGATAACTCTAGAACACGGGTCCCGAAACCCCCGGCTGCAGATGGAATGGGTGCGCGGCCTGTTAGAAACCAGGCTGCACAGCATGAGGTGAGCAGTAGGTTGGCTAGAATTACTGCCCGAGCTCCGCCTCCTGTCACGGCAGCATTAGATTCTCATAGCAGCGTGAACCCTATCGTGAATTGCACACGTAAGCGATCTAGGTTGTGCTCCCTTATGAGAATCTAATTAATGCCTGAGGTGGAACAGTCTCATCCTGAAATCATCTCCCTCCATCCACCCCGCCACTTCCCCACCCCCATCCACGAAACCGGTCCCTGGTGCCAAAAAGGTTGAGGACCGCTTCTCTAGAAGATGCATAGTATCATCCACAAAGCTCCTTATTATTAGGGACCTGAAGAATATAAAAACTAAAGAATCAACAAGGCCGGGCGCGGTGGCTCAAGCCTGTAATCCCAGCACTTTGGGAGGCCGAGACGGGCGGATCACGAGGTCAGGAGATCGAGACCATCCTGGCTAACACGATGAAACCCCGTCTCTACTAAAAGATACAAAAAAAAAAAAACTAGCCCGGCGAGGTGGCGGGCGCCTGTAGTCCCAGCTACTCCGGAGGCTGAGGCAGGAGAATGGCGTGAACCCAGGAGGCGGAGCTTGCAGTGAGCCGAGATCTGGCCACTGCACTCCAGCCTGGGCGACAGAGCGAGACTCCATCTCAAAAAAAAAAAAAAAAAAAAAAAAAAAAGAATCAACAAAAAACCCTCTGACTATCCTACATACTTGATACAATGACTAAGTGATACAATGCATATTAAAATGTTTTCCATACAAAAAAGCAAGATGTTTTTATAATCAGTAATAACAGTAAGTGATGTTTGGTTTGAGGAAGAGTCAGATTTAGAAAGTCACAGCTCAGGAAACATTAGTAAAACATTAGTGAAATTTGAAAATTTAAATTTAGGATATCTAGAATTCTTACTTTTTATCAAAAAATTAGGAAGCCCAGATACTTTTGAGTAATAAATATCAATTGAAAGGGTATTAACATTAAATTAATATGAATTCAATATTGCCCCTTAATTATTTAGGGCTAGCCCTTTAAAAGGTAACAAGAACTGATTAACTCTATATCCAGTAAGGATTAAAGCAGGTAAGGACGTGCACTCTTTCTCTTCAGCTGTATATTCATTATTTGATCTGATCTCTCTTTTCCTGGGCACCTTACCAGCTAGCATACAGATACTCACATGCCAGAATAACTGTGTCTCCTACCTACAAGCTGAAGTATTTCTGATCAGCTTTCCTGAATCATATCACAAATAAATCTGAAAACTGGCAAGGTGCAGTAGCTCACACCTGTAATCCCAGCACTTTGGAAGGCCGAAGTGGGAGGAATGCTTAAGCCCAGGAGTTCGAGACCAGCGTAGGTAACAAAATGAGACCCTTGTCTCTACCAAAAAAAAAAAAAAAAATTAGCCGGGCATGATGCATTCCTGTAGTCCCAGCTATTTGGGAGGCTGAGGTGGGAGGATCACTTGAGCCTGAGAGATTGAGGCTGCAGTGAGCCATGACTGAGCCACTACACTCTAGCCTGAAGGCCCTGTCTCCAAAAACAAAAACAAAAAACAAGGATATTACTTTTAAAAAGTTTCCTCCACTGTTTTAGATTTAAGTTGGAAAATGTTTGATTCTTGTAATGAGCAATAAAAAATTAAAACTCTCCTCCTTCTGCCTTTCTTCCCCACCTACTCGTCTAGTCAAAGGCTTTACCCCAGTAATTCTTTCTTCTCTCTCCTGAGTCATCAATTTGTCCCATTCTCATCTGTATACAAACAAGCTGTTATTTCTCTCATCTTCAAATATCCCCTCTCTTGATCCCATTTATTATCCTTTCAATTTTCTCCCCCTTCTTTCTTCCTCTTTACAATAAACTTGAGAAATCTGTTAGGTTTACTGTCTTCAATTTATTTATTGCCATTCTCTCTTGAAATTCAGTTTTATTCCCATCATCTCACCAAACTGACCTGAGAGCATACGGACCTTCACATAAGTAAATATGAGGGTCATTTTTCACTTCTCATCTAACATTACCTATCAGCAGCATTTGATATAGTTATCATGGAGTCCTCCTTAAAACACTTAACTTCATTTAATTGTTATATATGATATTCACTTGGTTTCTCTCCTACTTTTCTGAGTGTTTATTCTCATTCTCTTTTTACAGATTTCAATCTACAAACGTTGGAGGACCCCAACCTCTTCTCTTTTCTATCTATACTCACCTCCAAGGTGATTTCATCCAATCTCAAGGTTTTAAATAAAATCTCTATATTGGCAATTCCCAAACTTACATCTATTAATTATGTATCTCTACCTTAAATTTAGACCCATTTACCTAACAAACCACTTGACTTCTCATCTTGGACACTTGATTGGCAACTAACAGCCTGCTATTTACCTTGCCCTCTTTCAAAACAGTGATCTCATTAAAATGCAAGTTAATTCAGGACACTCCTCAGCTCACAACCCTCCAATGACTCTTTATGTCACTCACATGAAAAACTGAAATCCTTACTATGACTTGTAAGCACGGCCCTGCACCACCACCAGAACAGCTCTCTGCCCTCATCTCTGGTTGCACTTCTCTCTTGCTCACCCCCTTGCTTCAGCCACAATGGCCTCCTCAGGTCACTAAAAAGCCAAGCATGAGAGAGTGAAGTCAGCAAAATGACAGAGTAGACAGCTCCAAACACCTGTCTCTTCACAAACACCCAAAACAAGCAGGAAGTATCAGAACCAACTTTATCACAACTCTGGAAAACAGTCAAATATTTACAACAACCAAGAGAATGCTGAAAAGAAAATACACCTAGCATTCAAGGAAATCTGTATTAAAACACTAGCTAAACACAAACCTAAGTAATAGAGGCTTCAGTGACCTCAGACAACAACCAATATAGTCAATACAGAAAATAGTTTTAAAAAAATGTCTAAACGAATGACTCCAGCCTTCAACAATGAAGAACAGCAAATGCTAAGGGAGGGGGTAAACCTTATTTCTGAAGTTAGCACATCACAGTATTAAATGGTCTGGTTTTCTCACACACATACGCACACACACACGCGTGTGTGTGTGCACTGCCGCCCCCAAACACACACACACACACACACACACACACACACCCTCAAAGCATACAAAGAATAAGAAAGCCCATCCAAAGGAAGAAAAAAGTTGACAGAAACTGTCCCCAAGAAAGTCCATTAGATTTGATGGTCAAAAACTTGAAATCAAGTGTCTTAGATATGATCAAAAAGCTAAAGGAAACCATGGCCCAAGAATGAAAGCAAACCAGGAAAATGGCATATGAACAAAATAAGAATATCAATACAGAAACAGAACATCTTAAAAGTAACAAAATAGAAATTATGGAGCTGAAAAGTACAATACCTGAAATAAAAAATGCATTATCGTGGTTCAACAGGAGATTTGAGCAAACCGAAGAAATAATCAGCAAACTTGAAGACTTGAAGATAGAAGGATTAAAATTACCAGATTCTCCAACAAGAGGATCACAAAGAAAAAATAATGAAGAGGCTGGACGTGGTGGCTCATGCCTGTAATCCCAGAACTCTAGGAGTCCAAGGCGGGCGGATCACCTGAGGTCAGGAATTCGAGATCAACCTGGCCAACATGGTGAAACTCCGTCTCTACTAAAAAAAAAAATACAAAACCTAGCTGGGCATGATGGCAGGCGCCTGTAATCCCAGCTACTTGGGAGAGGCTGAGGCAGGAGAATCGCTTGAACCCGAGAGGCGGAGTTTGCAGTGAGCTGAGATTGTGCCACTGCACTCCAGCCTGCGTGACAGAGCGAGACTCTGTCAGAAA